ACCCTTCTATTTAAAAAAAGAAACAATTGATTTGAAGTGACTAAAAAGCTCTTTCCAATTGCATTAAAAAATAAAACAAATCTTGCTTTGCTAAGTTGCCTAGTTCTTACGAATCTGAAAACAAATAAGTAAAAAACCAAGAACAAACAAACATTTATTAAAACTACTCTATTTAAAAAAAATTAAATTAAACAGAGAACAACATTGATTCTTCTTGAAAGCTAAAAAACTTTTCAGCTCAAATTTGCTTGCAGACCTTGCTTATAAAACCACTTGAATAAGAAAAGCATCAAAAAAGCCTAGAAGCTACTTAAAAATGGTATATGCAACATTAAACTTTAAATGTTGACTGGAGTAGATATTTTTAAAAAATTCATAAAAATTCAAAATGATTTGTTCTTCTATAGCAAATAAATACACCATAAATCTGAAGTTAAAACAGTAACAAATAAGTAAATACAAAGAAAAAAATTATATGTGAATTGAAAATCAATGCACCTGATAGAGATAAGCTGTTGTGATACCTGAGTAGTAGTTGCTAAATATTGTTATTTCATGATAAACAAAATGCATTAATAGCAAAATGATGTCTTGAATGACTTTTAGTAAATAAATAAAAGCAGTGAGTTCTAGTAATGAAACTACTTGTTAATCATTTTAAGGTAACAACATTACGCAAAAAATTATAAAAGATAATGGTATTTGTTTTCAGAATAGTTATATTAAAGGCTAGGCAACACTTAGACCTAAAGTAGTAACATCGCTTGACTGGTAAGGTTGACAAATCTTGCTCTACACGTTTGCCAAGTCACGCCACTTTAAAATCATGGAAACAACATTAAATAAACATATATACTAATTATAAAGCACTATATATTTTTTTATGGTACTTAACATATAAAAACACCTCATTTAACAATCATGTACAAACTAGATATAATACATATCATACTATTATAAAAACACATTTATATAAACACATTTATAAAACAACTATATAACATATATCACAACATACACGTATTTATCAAAAAAAATTTAACTTTGAGCATATTATACATGTAAACATATATGCAAACCTTTAACAAATATAAAACAACATTTATTAGCATCAATTATTTTTAAAGTAACAAAGAATGCAGACTACAATTCACAACATTGTTAATAAAAATGAAGTTATGTCAGTCAGTATATATTTATCTAAATTTATGAAAAAGAAGAAACCATTTAAGAACAAAATTAAAAATTTCTAATAAATACATATTTAAATACATTAAAATGAAGCATAACACAACATTCTTTTGACAAATTCCAGAAGAAATTTTTTATTCCTTGTTATTTTTCTTTACAGAAAATGTATATAAACTTACATGACCACAAATAACAGTCTTATTTTATTCAACTTTTCATATTAAATTCATAAATTAAATTTTATTCTCATTATTCTTTCTTTAAAAAAAAATCTTAATCTATGTATGAGAAAATAAATTGAACTTACTAAAAAAGTGATCAGCTCCTCTTAACTGCTCTAAAAAATAAAACAAATACTTGCTTAAAATGTTTTAAAAAGACTAACGAAAAAACTGAAACAGTTTTCTTAAAAAAGAAACATTTTACTAATAAAACTATTTTACCAGTGAATTTAGTTCTAACTTCTTCTAAAAAATGAAAAATAAATACATATTTAGATACCTTAAAATGAAACATAACACAACACTCTTTTGACAGAAAAGAAATTTTTTATTTTTCTATTCTTATTTATTTTCGCTAAAAGAAAATATACATATAGCATAGATATAGAGAAATATAAAATAGACTAAAATAGACGCAAACTTATGTATATAAACTTACATGAACACAAATAACAGTCTTATTTTATTTAACTTTTCATATTAAATACATATATTATATAAAACTTTATTTTATATTTAATTCTTTTTCCAAAAAACAATCTTAATCTATAAATAAGAAAACGAATTCAACTTACTAAAAAAGCCATCAGCTTCTCTTAACTGCTCTGAAAAATAAAGCAATACTTGTTTAAAATGTTCTAAAAAGACTAACGACAAAACTGAAACAGTTTACTAAAAAAGAAACATTTTACTAAAAAAACTATTTTACCAGTCATTTTAGTTCTAACTTCTTCTAAAAAATAAAAACAGGCTATAAAAATTAGAAAAAATAAAAATAAGCAACAACAAACTAATAGTTAATTAATTTTTTTATTTTAAAAAATGAACAACATCAATTCTTCTTGAAAATAAGTGTATCAGCTCCAATTTGCTTGCTGATTTTACTCGAAAGACTGCGTGGAATATATACACTTAGCACTTAGAAAAGTCTAGAAACAACTTAAAAACTAAAAAATAGTGTATTTTAAAGAATACAGAACTGTAATTAACAAAACGAACAATAGGTGTGACAATACGTAACTATGTGCACTAATAATAATAATATTCATTGTGCTAATTATATTGAGATTCATATATAAAGATGTTGTAATGGCTTTTATCCCAATTATTAAAAGCATGTGAAAGAATGAAACTACCCATAAATAACTTTTAACGCTAGACACCATCTAAGAATTATAGTAATCTATATTTTTAATATTTACATCTATAACACAAAGCTTTTATTTGTACGAAAGTACAATTTAAAAAAAGATTACAATAAATTAGTTACAGAAAAAAAATTTTATAAAGATTTTATATTACATATATTTTAAAGCTACTAAACATTATCTACTTAATGTGTACTTATACATTTTGAACATTTTCATCTGTTTAACAACTGAATTGTGATTAATCACAACTCTGGAAACTTAAATATATTTTAATTTAAATCTAAACAAATAAACAAATTATGAATAGAAATGCAAGGAAATGCTTACTGCTAGTATTTTTAGTATCTAAATAACTAAAGAAAATAAACGCAACGACGATGATTATTTTCAACTCGTCTAACCAACCTTTCCAGATTTGTGTTCAAATTCTCTTCAGTCTGTATAACAGCTCTTCTTACATTTTGCTGACGATTCATCTTGCTTAAGTCTGTTTCTTTCATTTCGTCAATGATTATTTTCAGCACGTCTTATATCATTTACATCATTTTGTAAATGTATAACTTTTACATTTACAAAATAATGTAAATGAGCATTTATATCATTTTGTAAATGTAAAACTTCATCTTGTATAACCACCCTTTCAGCAACTTAGTTTTCATTAAAAACCAAAGTCAATAAATTAAACAAATAGGAAATAAAAATAAAAAATAGTTAGGGCATCAACACACAACAAATCTGATACAAATGTTTAAAAAGTAAATACAGCCTAATCTCCTTATTAAATATAAAAGCTTGCCTCGTGTAATTTCAAAAGTAGATTGGAAACTGTTTGCATTAGAGTATTTTACAGAATACAGAACTGTTACTAATATCAAACAATAGTAACTAATGGCATTGAACATTGAAATCTTACAGTATTAATATTCAGATAAATAAGTTTTTCCAATGTATTGTACTGTTAATTTTAATAATTAAAACATAAATGTATATGTAAAAAAACATATAGTATTTATATATGAGTTTTAAAAATACTCTTTATATGTTAGTCAAAACTAAATTTTTTTATAAGATATGAAATATTATTTATATTAACATTATCTAATATTTATTGTTTTATAAAGTGTATTAGGTAACTTTAAAAAAATGTAACCCAAAAGTGTAAAACAAAAAAACTTGACTGACAATTTCAAAAACAAAAAATGATTATGAAAAAGTTTGAGTTGTAATATTTTTCTACAACTTTGAATTTAGTAACTTTCAAAACCAATTTTACTTTCAATCAATATCCTTTAAATGCACAAAATCAGTAAAAAAAAAACTATTCAAAAAATGTATTTGAATTTAAAATTTAGTCAAGAATTAAATTCTAATTTAATGCAGTAAAATTGATCATCAACAGTTTTACAAGTAAACATTTAAATAAGTGTTTTAACCAATACAACACTTATTATAGCATATTTTATACAAAACAAATCTTTATCGGAAACACCTACACTGTAGTTACACCTACATTTAGCTCATCAAGTCTATTTACGGCTTGTACCAATGGGTTTCTTGTTCCACAAATTATTTTATTTTTTTCCACTTATGAAAAGTTACCCAACTATACTCATAAAAGCTACAAAACTGAAAATTTCACTTTTGACCTAGTTAACATTTTGCTGACCTATCCTTTATTAATAACCAGTCTCTGTTTAATGGAAGTTGTGAGCCAAGTTTAGAAATTTTGTGTCGAATTTTAAAAATAAAATTTCTTCATTATGTTATAATAAACCAAAATCATATTATTTTGTTGAGCCTCACATCTCCTCTTTCATCTGATAATCCATGAGAGTTGGACAACATCATTAAAACCACAACCTAAGAACAAAATTGAAATTTTATCTCTGGCAAATATGAGAGCAAAAATTTTTCATATTCAAATATGAAAGAAAATAAAAAGGTTTTTTTAGGCTGATTTTGAAATATCATAACTTTTTAACTCTTTCCGTGATTCTCCTCGTGGTGACTCTTGGGTAGAAATTGTATTATATGCAGGTGCTGCGTTAAGGATGGACCAATTCAAAACAAAATCATCATTTCTTTTATTTTTTAATTCCCATATTTTGACAGCATGGTGTCTTGATGTTACAATTTAAGATGTTCTTATGCTATTCTGTTCTTATGCTGAGTTTATGTTGTATTAAAACAAAAGATTTATTTAGAAATTAAGAAACAAAAAATGTATTATTTATTATACTTTAAATCCTCTAAAATAATTTCTATTTTTATATTACACAATGCTTTTTGTTTTTAGTTTCTAAAATGTTTGTAGTTGAAAGAATAAAAAAATATAACAATTGCAAAACTTGATTTAAAGATTTTATTGTAGTTAGTGTTACAATAGTTGTTATTTATTTCATATTGTAAAATTTGATTAAAAGTTTTTTTGTTGTAGATAATGTTGGACCCACGGTAATTCAGACAAACTTTTATATTGATCTTAATGATGATTATATTTTTACTGAAGTAATTCCTGGAAACAACTCAATGTATATTTTCAATAAAAATCCAGTAGAGTTCTCAATAAATGCAATTGAAGCCTTTAGTGTTTTAAGTAATAATGTTGTTTTTCCTTCTAACTGTTCAATGACATTTGGTGATTTTTGTATTAACAGTACAACTGGTAAGATATATACAAGTAGTGGTATTTTTGGCAAGCTATATTCTAACACCAGTATATTTTTTTATGTCAGAGTAGTAGACATCTCAGTTTATCCAATGCGAAGTCCTACTGTTCCTTTACAACTTCTAATTACAGATCGTTGCTATCGTTCAACTGCAAGTTATCAATATGTTGTCACTAATTGTGTCAACTATACAAGTATTACTTCAGTAAGAGTCAACGAAACAAAAAAGTTTATTTTTCTTTTATACCCTTTAGAACGTATAATTTCTTTAGAAATTGATTCTTCACATATTTTAAATGTTTTTGAATATGTTAGTTTTAATGCCACATTTTATAACGACAGTGAAGAAATATATTCTTTTACTTCGAGCAAATTGCAAGTAAAGCCAACTTTAAGTATACCATTAAATGTTTGGTATGGAATTGTAACTGAGATTCATGTGACTATTTTTGGACATAAATTTGATCAAATAAATATTTTTTCTCAAATATTGGAGCCAAAATTAAAATATTTGAGTGGATATAATTGTACAACAACTTGCTTGACAAAGTACAGTGAGTGGCTAAGCATATCTCAACATAGTTGCAATAGTGACCTTGATTACTTGCATATCAATTTCGATGTGTGCTTTGGTAATGATTTTATCATTTTTAATATAATAATTTTATATTTATATTAAATAACCAAAGGTAATTAAATAAATTATTTAGTTTTTCTGATTTTGCTTGTTTTTATCAATGTTTTTTTTTTTTCTACGATTGTTATTTAAAAGTGTTTTACAGATCCTGATACAATGTTTTTGAGCAAGCCAACATTGGACTCTAACATTGTAACATTTGGAGGCAATGTTCTAATCAATAACATGATATATTTATCTCCTTTTGAATTTGTTAAAAGTTATTGGTTAAAAGATGGAATTACAGTATTACAGCCATTACCAAATGATCAGAAAAAATTACAAATAACACAAAGAAGCTTGAAACACAATTACTTATTGCATGGATTTACTGCTGGAGGTTTGCTAATAAAAAACATTGGTATTTCTAACCAAGGTTTTTATCAATGTGTGATTGAAAATAATGGAAAAAGTTTTTATTCTGAAAAAGTAAAGGTGATTTTATCAGGTAATTTTCTTTTGTTTTTTTAGTTTATTTTCAAACTTAACTATTTTGATATAAACAAGTTCTTTATTCAAATTATCTGTTAGAAATTTATATTAAATCTTATTTTGTTTGTAACGATGAATATAAGTTTAAAGCAAGAAGCAAATAACATAAATTTTTTTATTGTTATAATCTTATTTGTAAAAGAGGTTATTAATTGCAACACAGATAACACACATGAGTTGTTTTAAAAAATACAGAAAATGGCCTCAAGTAAAAAAAAACCCTCACTCATTTTACTCACATTTTTATTGTGGAATTGTTTTCTGCTACCGTTCCTAAATATTTTTATTTCTAGATTGCAACATGCTTAGCTTTATTCCACATTGTTTTCTAACTGTTACGAATAGCTACTAACTGTGAAAGTAAACTTTCTATATTTTAAACTTTCATGTCTAATGTTGCATTATTGGCTTGAATGATTTTGTTGCAAATGTCAATAGGAAATAATATTCTGTGCTACATAACTGACATTATGATGCAGGTAAAGGTACTAGTGTAACAAATCGCTCCACGAATTTTGTTCCTAGTTTTTAAAGTAAGATTTAGCTGGAGTAAGTCTTCCAAAGCCAACTTTATTTCTGGAAGGTGAACTACTAATGTTTTGACACTCCCTTTTTGATCTTACCTTTATTAGATAATTGTTTCCCACCTCTACTATTGAATAAGGTATATATTGTTTGCATAATTCCAAGGTAGGTTATGGCTTCCAGAATACACTCAGCAGTATCATAATCACTTAATTTATGTGTGAAGCAGCCACAAGGAGAAAACATAGCAGTTGGACACTGTTCTTTTAGTATTGCTTGTGCTCCCTAGTATTTGCCTGACAAAATTAGCGCTTTGTCATAACTTTGAGCCCTACAATTAGCGAGTGTGTTACTTTCTAACATTTTTGTAATCATTTGAGCCATTTCAGAACCAATTTTACACTACAATCTACAAATTTCAAAAATCTTTTGACAATATCATATTGCCATTCATGGCAAACTTGGCAACGTAAATTAAATGTTGTTTGCTCAACATGTGATAAATCTGTATTAGAATCTACAATTATTGCGTTGTACTTTGCTGAATGTCTTTCTTTCAAAACGTGGTTCTTAAC